GGAGTTAGAGGCTGTCACAAAGCCCGGGGGTGCTTCTCTGGAGTTCGCAGGGAAACAGGACCCTGGGCAAGCAGCTCGGGTGTCCTAGGAAGTGACTCTGGGGTGGGGGGTGGGGAGAGAAGGCGAGGTGGTCAATTATACAAGCATCCCATGTGATGCCCCCATGCCCCAAAGGTACCTGTTTTGCCATGGCAATGGGAGGGGGCTGGAGAAGCTGCATGTCGCATGTTGGGATGGTCCAGTCCCTGCCATGGGGAGTGGGGAGGAGAGGAGAGGTTCTGTGGCATTTTTAGCCTTGCAAAGATTTGGGCTGAAAAGCTCAGAGACACAGGTAGGTCAGCCTGTCAGGGACAAGTCAACTCCACCGGCCCTGTCAGCACTTTGCAGCCCTAGCTTACGTGTGTCAAGCCCCAGGTTTGCTCCAGCTATTCACAAGCAGAATTATAACACAAGAAAAACAAAACAAAAAAAAAACAATTCATATCCCTTAGGGAAAAAAGAGGATCAATTCATCACTCTTTGATATATAATACAGCCAAAATCAGCTGCCAGAACAAGCACACACACACGAAAATACTGTGAACAGAAAAATACAAGAAAATGGCTAAGCTGGGAGTCTCAATGGGGTGTAGACGTTGCTTAAAGCACTTATCAGTCCCCAGTAAAACCAAACCAAAAGTCACTTTTTAAAAAGTCAAAACCGCATGGACCCCCTGGGAATCTGATGTTGGTAACGGGGGAGGGGGGAGCGGGGGGAAAGAGAACTGATGTTCCCTTTTTGCTTGCCAGTGTGACCGAGGGAGCCCCCCCGCCCCCCCGCGCCCGCACCGGGTCCCCCCGCTGGCAGTCTCCTTAAAGGCAAGGTCTGAGTTTTGGCTGATGAGCAGTTCTCTCGGTTACCAATCCCTGCCAACCAGCACCACCATGGCTGAATTGATCTCCCGTTTTCCTGAGTAAACTGTAACTGGCTACAGTTGCGGTAACGTGGGTTAAGAACCGCTACGACAGCCGACTTGGGTCACTTGAGGAATCCCCACTGCCCTCGGCTCCTTGTTCCTAGCGCATCTACTTTGGACACTGCAGAACTTGCCATAGGCTGGTCTGTAAGCCTTGTTTTAAAGCCAGGTGCCAGGGACTCCACTGAGCTTACTAGACCAGGGGGAGTGCACTGGCTTAGGACTGCCGGAGCCTACCTGGAAAGGGCCCCGCTTCATGCTCTCGAGCTCTTGGATGGCTATTGCCTGGTTGATCAGTAAAGCAAGTGTGGAGGAAGTACACAGGGAAAGGGAAAGGGAGGGAAGAGGCTTCTGGACGTAACATTACCCAAAAAAGAAAAAAAAATTTAGTGTTTTATGTAACAGAATCAAGTCTCACTGGTGTTATATACTACAAATGGTCAGACATTTTCAAGAGCATGACAAAATAAAAACACACAAATTTACGTCTGATGTTCATCTTGCCCACTATTCTTTTCTCCTATCTTAAAACAGTGCAAACAGGTAACTTTATGCTTTTTAAAACACCACTATCCCTTCCCCACCCCCCAAAGTCCCTTTCTTCCTATCATGGGGAGGGGGGAGTCTGCAATTCTGCAAACGTTACTGTGCTAGAGGTTGCAAGCAGCAGAGGAGGCTGGACTTGGTGAGAGGGAAGGGCATGAGCCATTTCCCTCCCCCTCCTGGCTGGCATGCCTTCCAGAGGGGCCCTGGCTTGGCTCCATTCTCCTGTCCGAGGGAAGGGGAGTTAGGTAGCCCTTCTGGCAGATCATCAGGGTGGCTTCAATCCCGAGTTTACACCTCCCTCCCACCTGGAAGCTAAGTGACTGGTGATGGGGGTGGTGCTCACCTACTTGTCTGCTACATCGCTAGGAACGGGAACCTAAAGTAGAGCAGTTCAGCCCCTGAGGAGTTAGACTTTTGAGGAAAAGCTGCTACCACTGGTTTTTATTGAATAATCTCCACTAGCTCGCCTTAAACGAAGAGGTGAGTCCCTGTCCCCTTCTTTTTCAAGGAAAAATAACATTGGCTCAATCCCACCTGCGGCTGTCAGAGGATGGTGGTGATGGCAAGTTCGGGAAAACCTGAGAGCCTTAAAAAAGATGAGTCACAATGGTTGAGCCAGGGGTTTCGGGAGCTGAACCATGGAACACAAGGGATTCCAGAAAAGACCTAAGGGCAGCTCTCCTGGCTGAAAAGGGGTTAGGAGATAAAGGTTTTCACTAGCAGTCTCCTTAAAAGAGCCCGGCTTCTAGGAGTAAGACGCTAAGTACAGAAGTCCACGTCATGAGCTACAGTAAAGCTGTTGAAATCATTCACGTGCTGGGTTTCAGCATCAGTGTTTTTTGGAATCATCAACCAGCATCCTCTAACGAACCCACAGATGCCAAACTCTCTTCCGACTCTGTTTCTTAGTCCAGTAGGAACCAGAGCCAGGAGCAGACAAGCACTGGTGCTTTGAGGAACCTGCCTCTGATGAAGCTGGCTGTACGGAGTCTCAGAGTTCAAAAGGGGATGGGGAGGCCGCTACAATCTCATCTAGGTGCTCACGAGAGCTCCAATTCTCGGTGCTGACGCCGAAGAGCGGAGGCCCTTGAGCGAAAGCGGAAGTCTGCTCAGCCTCCCTTAGAAAAGGAAGCTGGAGGAAGCCGGATTACAACCATCCCTGGAAATGCAGCAGAATGCACAGAGCTTGCCTATGGAGTCCTCAGCCAGAACCAGCTGAACTGAACTGCAGTAAAGGTAGCCCAAGCTCGAGCTTCTGCCTCTTTTAAAAGGGCAGTGGGAGCTGCCTTCTCTACCTTGCCCACCATCCTTGTCTCTTTCTTGGAAAAAAGAAGAGAAAATTACTAAACTCATTCCCCGATTCTCCTCCCCTGCTACAGACACAACCATTTAAAATTTGGCCTTATCTCCACTGAGCAGTGGCTTGCCATTTCTGTGAATGGCCCCTATTTGAACATGACACGAAATTTCTCTGTTTCTTAGTAAAAGCTCTCCCTCAAAACAAAAGCAAAAGCAAAAAAATCCTCCCTGCCCCCATTCTCTAGAACTGTGAAAGCCCCACATCCTATACCCCTTCCTCTAACTAAAATATTTATATACATACAACAAAAATTGTCTTAACAGCAACGAAAACAAACTTTGGCTTGGGGAGGGGAACCCTTACAAATGGCCAATGGACCTAGGCAGTTTGGTGTCCCCTATTCCATGCATTCCTCCCCAGAATTAGTAAGATTGCATCGAGGCCTCAAGCTTCACTGATGTCTCCCCTCGTTTCAGGCACAGCCTCTCCTCCCAGTCATCAGGAGAGAGAGGGTTTCACAGGGGGAGAAGACAGGTATTTTACACAATAGGCCAGTCCCTCCCGGATAGATCACTCTGCTTACAAAGAATGCTTGATGCTGTCATATGTCAGTCATTTTAATTCAGGGACATGAATCAGTTATCAGTCAAGAACACGTGTGGAGGCAGGAGTAAAAAAAAAAAGAAAAAAAAACAACAACAACAAAACAAACGGAAAACAAACCCATAACAAACCAGAAGCTCCATGTCTCTGAATTACTCCCTTTAGCAGCTATCCCTTGGGTGAGAGGTCACCCTAGTACCAATGTGAATAGACCAGGGAGCCAAACAGACCGTGCTTTTCTGTTTTCTAATGCCGTCATTTTGGAAATGCTGCAGGACCCTTGCCTTTATCATTAACAGCTAATAGCTAGAAGAGAAACACCTTTCCCCTGCCTTGTCAATATGTATAAAATCAAAGCCAGGGAGCCATAGCAGTGACTCACCGCTGTGGTCACAACACGACTCTTCCTGGCAACACGTGAGATCCTTGCCAGGACACACCCTCCTTCCACTAGGGGAGGGGAGGAGCCTCAGGGGCTCTGGGTTTTATCTCCTGTAGTGTTCATGTATGCCAAGCGGTCGAGTGCTCGGCTGGGTGTCTTTGGAGGAAAATGAGAAGCTGGGTGGAGTGGCCACGAGAGCTCAAGACCATGGACAGAGAAGTGGCTGACAGAAAGCTCTGGAAGATGGGAATTCCTATGGCTTTGGAGCTAGTTAGTACAAAGTGCCTTGACCTGCCCTCACATGCCCCAATCACCACAAACTTCCAGGGACAGCCGCCCCGGGACTCGGAGCTTTATCTTTTGCCAACACTCTCCGTATGTTTCATACCTTGTACTGACCTACTGATGCAAGAGAAAGCACAGGAATATCAGAGCCCTGCCAGACATCATCTGATACCCCTTTTCTCTTCCTTACCCTCTTTACTGGCTCCCAACACTTCGTACTTCTAAACCCTCAAGCCGGGAGATCTGGTCGCTATTTATTCTCCTGTCCCTGGGTCCTAAATTCCTGACTCTTGAGGACTTGCGAGCGGGGAGTTCATAGAAGGACAGATGAGCTAAGCTGTGGTTCAGAGAAAGGGGAAGAAGCCCAGCAGGAATGCTAGGATCTCAGGAAAGAAAAGAATGATCTTTTTCACACTCCAGAGTTCATTCTGAGATCGGTTTCCTAATGAGGTGTTTATTATCCACAGTCTGAGAGCATGTTTGGAAATATCAGTATTATAATTCCAAAAACGATGCCAACGGTCTCAGGCTGTGCAGGTTAAGATGATTGTAAAAAGAATGGAGAAGACACGAGGGAAGAGGAGAGGAAAGTGTCTTTTTAGTCCTCCTGCTTTGCAAGCACAAACTCCTGTCATCTACCAGCATGTGGATTCCAGCAACAGCCAAGCAGAACTGCCTGCCGAAGACCAGAAACTCAGAAGACTAGAAGAGTATCCTGTTGCAGACAGATCTCCTCCACTTCTGTTCGTCCCCCAGCCCTCAGCACCGGATACACTTTGGTAGCTCTGTCTGCTGATTTCTGATCACATGCATTCATCAGCTCCTAAGGTCTCCCCTTCCTCGTTAACTGCCTCTTCCGTGATTGACAGAATAAGCTAAGCACGGACATACAGACATGGAAATGCATTATTTTTTTTTTTTTTACCACAGTTAAAAAAAAAAAAGAAAAAGAAAGAAAAAAATGCACAATCTTTGGAACAAAAGAATTAAAGGCAGAAATGTAAAGGAAAAAATACATATTCAAAGAACATAGTGAGGTATAAAAAAGTATTCTCTCTTTTTTTGTATTTTTTTGTTTGTTTGTTTGTTTTTCCTCTTCATCTTGCTATAGAGTTCCTCTACTAGTAAATATTGCAATAGCCAGGCCTCATGAACTGGGGGGCTGTCCCATTTGCAGGGTCTCACGTCACTTCAGTAGGGGGCAAATCGGCTGTAGCCACCTCGGTATAAACTCGCCTGCAGTAATTAAAGACATAAAAATAATTAAAAGGTTGATGAGAGAAGCACTGAAAATGAAGAAAAATGTCCTGAAAAGGGATTTGGAAAAACAGCTTCTTTAGAAGCTGTAAAGCAACTGGTAAGATGTTATGTAGTGCAGTGAAGTCAGGAAACGGACTTCTGCCTCTAAGACGCTCAAACCAGAGCCCAGAACACTTACTGAGGACCTGATATTCTCCTTTCCCTGCTTCATTTCATTATTTACATCAATCAGCACAGAAGGGAAACTCAAACTCAATACAGTTTAAAACCAGATGTGTAAATAATCTGACGTTTAAAAGCACGAGAGTTTTTGTTTACCTTGATCACATCATCACAATTGTGACCTGAAGCAACTAGCTGATTTTACCTTCGTACACATCACCTGTCCGTGGAGAACAGGCTCCTCTCACCACTAGCTGTCACATACCATGTCTGAGATGGTGCTGGATTTAAACCGGAGTCAACCTTTCAACTCAAGTCTAGCTCCTTTATAATCTAGAATATATGCCAACTAAGGCTGCTTGTGGACATACCCGAATTTATTTCTATCTATCTCTCTGGAGTTTTAACCGGGCTTTGTTCTTTCTTTGCTTCTTCAGGATTGGACTTGTATCTTTTTGGCACATAAAATCTCAGGAATTTCCATCACTGTCTTTATCTTGTCTATCTCTACCTCAATTCCACACCTACATTCCCTTAGGACCCTGCTACTTCCTCCCACAAATCTTCCTATCAGTAGAAACTGAGTGTGAGAAATGACGGGCTCTCTCATATTCCTCTAAGCCCAATTTCATTTATCACTCTGCCTCCCCGTCCAACACCTCTGTCCACAAGCCCAGGCTGCTGCCCAGCTGAGAACATCAGGGATGTTGCTGTGAACAGCCCATCTCTGCTGCAGCCCGGAGGCATCCAGGCCAACAAAGAAATACTGCCGTGAGGATTCCAGTTTGGTTGGAGGGGGCTAGGGGTGGGGAGTTCTTCTAGATGAGCTCAATGGACCTTTACTACACTTCCAGGAAAATACCCTATTTTGCCACAAATGTTACTGTAAGGCATTCACTTGATGATTTCCAGCACTACTTGCCAGAAGGCTCGGGAATGGCAGGGACAGCCTTTGGTATCTGCATCTGAAACTAATGTCCATTTTTTGAAAAGCTTACTGTGAAAGCTGGAAAGTCTCATGCCCCTACATCTTCGCTAACACCTATCGATTAAACCAAGCCACAGGCATGCATCCAACAGCTGAGCCAATACAAAACGTCAAACTGTTCCCTTCTTTCTCTCCCACATGATGCCGTTACTCAGGGCAGACTGTCACAGCTCATTCCTCCCTGCCCTTAACCAGGTCAAGTGGCTCACACTACAACGCACAGATAAAGAAGCTGATATGAACTTTCCAGACAGTCTTCTGTGGCTTCAGGACTTTGGCAATGAAGAGGGGCTGAATTTGTTACCTCTCTAGATCTTTTGGGATCTGTAGGCAAAAGTCAAAAGGAGTAAAGTGGTTAAGAAGAAAAAGGGCACATGTCATACTCACCACAGCGCCAACTCCGTAGCTAGCGGCAGGGGCAAGGGCGTGGTACGGGTCGGCTGTGTACACCCTGCCGTAACTGAAAGAGGAAATACAATCAGGGAGATCAGGCCAAGGCTGTGCGCTACAAGAATGACAGGGTTTACTGTGCTAAAGACTTGTGGGTAACTTGGTCTTGGAATGTTATGGGGAACTTTCTCTACTCCCAAATGCAGTAACTCCGAAAAATTCTCAAGTACCTCTCTATGGCGGGAGAGAAAGGAGCTGGGGATGAGGAAGAGGGAGAGCGGGGTCAAAGCCAGAAAGGGACAAGGAGACCAAGCGGGAGCGGCGGAACAGAAGTCGCGGTGGTGACAGGAGGGCGGCGGGCAGCACCTACCCATCGCTGTAGGCTGCGGCGGCGGCGGCGGCAGCTGTGGCCGCGGTCGCAGTAGCGGGCTGTGCGTATCTGTAGGCTGCGTATCCGCCCTACAGGAGAGAAGAGAACTGACTTTACAGATACCTCCCCCCCAGGGCCGGCCGCACACACACCCACCCACACGCAGACGTACGCGCACGATGACAAGGGGACAGACACAAACACAGACACACACGTGGGGGAAGAATGTTTCAAACTGCCTCAGTCTGCATGTTATCGTTCCTCTGGCACAGAATGAAGCTCCACCCAATGCAGGGATGTGCTCTCCAGTGTGGGACGGTAACAAAAGTAAAAACCCTCTCAGTAGGACCTGTTCTCAGATTTAAGAAACGAAGATAGGATTTCAGATCTGTCTTACTTCACAGTCTTCACAGGGCAAATATCTGCAGGGAGTTGGGAGAACTTTACCTGACGGGGAATGTAAATTATAGAACTAGAACATACTAAATTTGTATGTGTTAACTTCAGATTCTCAGATGGATTTACTGCTGAGACTACGGACGGTATGTAATGGAAAGGTCCTCTATAGTGCTGTGCTCCATCAGGCCTCGCATGTTTGCCAAGAGGCTAAGATAACCAGGCGACATTTAGAAGGAAAACCCAGTGTAGATCAGGGGTTGGCAAACTTCAATCTGTGAGCCGACGCAGCCTGCCACCTGCTTTTGGAAGCAGGTGTGAAGAGACCGTCTGGCCTCCAAAGCTGAAATATTTACCACTTGGCCCTTCAGAGCAAAAACCTGCCAGTTCTGATCTACATTTCAGACTCAGACAAATCACATTACAAACGGCCCAGGACCCTGCGGTGGGACTCACCTAGGTGAGGAAGCCCTCCCTCCATGCCCTGGACATTTAACTGCATTTATTCTCCTCTCCCAAAAGATTCGGAGATTCTTCCACTCCAACCTTGTAGCAGGCTCTGGAGCTCTTCTGCCAATGGGCCCAGTGTCCTCTCCGTCCTGGAGACTTTAAGACTCCCACATCCTGTGTCCGCCCCTCAGTTTAGGGGAACCAAACACCCCAAAGGTTTTCACTGTCAGGGTGAACCGTAAGTACTTCGAAGATAAACACAACAGTAAGTGCCACATGAGACAGGCTATTTTAAAAAGTGGCAAGCCCTGTGTTTTCCTCTTCTTTAACCTTCAAGAATTCATCTATTTCACCTAAACCTAATTCAGGAGTGAATTTTTATTACTATCTTCTCCCTGTCAGATATAACTATGTTCAGCTGGTGCACTTAGGCACCATTTCATTTATTCTTTCTCCAAGTGAACACACTGCATTATGGAGGAGCATTTACTCCTGCTCTCTAAATGTATGCTGCTTGAAGCCATCCAAAGCAGCTTCAAATGTACACTCAAAGTATCCCTGATTGAATTTCAATAGTCATGCATTATTCCTCTTTGTTCTTCAAGTGAATCACTCAGAAAAGCAAACATTTCTTTCTTAATTACAAATTCTTCCACAGATATCTATATACATCAAAAGATTCTAATTAATATTACCCAACACTGACAATGAAATGGTAGAGGACAGAAACACGGCAGGAAGCACCCTCGGGGCTGTAGTGTGATCAACACGTTTGCTCTGACATCCAGCCAGGTCTACAGGAACGGGCAGGCCAGGCTGGTCTGGGCAAAGCTACACACCCCAGGCTGCATCATATACCCTGCCGTACCTGCATCTGTGCTGTACCTACCTACACATACACGCGTTATAAACTAAAGGGTCTCTTTACCTTACTCCTTTTTAGGAAAAACATCTGTTAAAGCAACAGGTTAATCTTTATAGTTGAAATTTTCAGCTTTAAATGAACCTTTAAAGGCTCAATTTTTCATTATAACTACAGATGATTCCATTAAGTTTAGAACTGAAGTTTGCTGGTGTGAAGCAAGCAGGGCTGATTTAGTAAAACTTCTTTGTAAACAAGGATAATGTGGTAAACAAGCAGTATGTGGTTTGTCTCCTTAGCATTCCTTCAAACACCAAAATAATCTTTAAAAATTTAAAAAGTCAAGGTAATAAAAGCAGTTAAAGCCCAATTTATGTTTACCTGAGCAAAACATTTACAAACTGAAGTTCTATGCCACAGGGCAGAGTATACATTCCCATTAAGGGATTCTGAGGCTCAAAAGTACTGACCTCTCAGAAAGTCTCAGTAAAGTCAGAGATACTGGGGATTCTATCAAATCACAGCTTTGAGCAGTAGTGCACTAATGCTGTGAAAAGAGGTTCTGAATGAGGTTACTGATAGGACCACTTCCCCTCCCCTTCCTCAGCCTGTAAGAAGCCGTCAGAACTGCAATGGTTTTGGGGTAATGTTATTGTTAACCAAAACAATTCAAAATAGATCAGACTGTGGGAAAGAAGTTTCCTTCCAAACCAGAAGGAGACGAGGAGACTCTATCTGTAATAGTTTCCTTCTATTATAAGTGGACTCAGACTTTGGAGTTTGAATTTGATGAGGTTCTTTGCTATTTAAATTCAGGAAAACGGGACAGGGATACAAATATTTTGTTGCCAACAAAAGGCTTGAGAAGAATATCAGCATTAAGAAAAACTACACTGATTTTTTTTTTTAAGCTGATAATATTTCAACGACTACTCTCCTCATTACAATGGTGCTACAGAGAGGCCCTTTAAGGTGGTGGTGGGGGCTATGTTCAGGATGGACAGATAATATTCCAATAAACTAGTTTGGTCATTCATCGGTGACTATCCCCAAATTAGAAAAGTTAAATTGTGTATCATGGATTTACTTCTCTCAGATGGAGTCTTACCCAAGCATTTCTGCTGCTGCTTCAAACAAACTTTATCAAAAACTGTTAAGACAAAGAAAATTCAGATGTATTTATTAATCTACTCCAATTTCGGAGTGCATCAGGTTTCCAGGCCGAGAAATTGTTTTCTCAACTATCACCTCGACTAGCAAGTCTGAAATCTTTTCTAGAACATGAGAACAAAGTGCAGTTTGAAACACCAAGGTTTTCATTACTGTTTCTTAAGTTTTTCAAAAAGAACAAGGGTGGGGAAGGCAGTAGGAGAGACAGGGTTCAGGCGTGGGGGGGGGTAATGGCGCCACATTGATTAATCACATTAAAAACTAAGCATGCCAACATCTGGAGCTAAAACAACCAGCAAAATCACCACGTTCAGACTCGTATTGGCTAACTCTATCTATCCCAGCATTCTCTTGGGACAGCGGTTTGCCCTAGGCTCTACCGCAAGCTCGGTGAAGTACACAGCCTCAATTACTAGAGCGTGCAGCCACAACAACCCTGCTATTACGGAAACAGTCAGTCACCACTTGAGTTAACATTCCAGACCCTAACAACTGGCCCTCCCCAGACCAAGGAAATAGTCAAGGTCGCCCCCCCTCGCCCTGGCCCACACCACAATGTTAATAATTATAACAAGCAGTAACCCATCTGTTATATCAGAGAAGGGAACAGAGACTCCACTGAGAGATTTAGAGTGAGATGTTAACGTGTCTTCAGCTGACTGCACAAACAAACAAACAAAAAAAAAAAAGAGGAGAAATAATTCATTTGGAGATATGAAGTCATGAAATAGCTGATGTGTATTGCTTTTAACCATGCACTGATGCAAAACTGAAGCAACCATTAAGAATAAAAATTAAAAAGGACATATGTATTTACACACAATCAGACCTGTTGGATCTGAAGCAGTTTGCAGACTCTATCTGTGTGTGATTTGAAATAAAACAAAAAATGGGGATTAGCATGGCCACAGCACACCCTAGTGTAGGAGGGCACACACGGACTGCTTTTTGGAACTCTGATGGCTGGACACATTTGGCATGGTTGAGCCTGGTCCAAATACACGCGTGCTCCTTTAAAAGGATTACTTTCTTATTCCTTTGTAACTCACTGTGAATGCCTCCGGAGTGTCCCCAACAGGGGCAGCCCAACACTCCATCACTCCCCTACGCACCCTTCCTGACCCTGCTAGTGAGGTTCAGTCCTGACCCACGGAGCGAGCTTGGGCGCTGGCCTTCGGGCAGCACCCATCCATTCTGACCCAGGGTTCTTCGGCCGTAGTTCCCGGGCTTAAGCGGTCTATCTTTTCACATATCCATGACACACCCCTGCCTTCAACTTCCAGCTCTTTCCCAGGAAAGCGTGGTTACCTTTAAGATCCTTTTGTTGTTCAAGTCTCAGCTGTCCAGGATCCATCAACACCTGCTAGGGATTCTCTACTCCATTCTGAATCGATTTTATCATTTAATTAACTTTATAATGTTGCCACACTGACCACAGGATTTTTCTAAAACAGTCTGTTTTAACCAGAACAAGATGGAAGGGCTCTACATATCCACCTCTCCCGTATCTGACCTTTATATGCATTCTCTATTAGCATGATCTCACACGGGTAGACATTCCCCTTGTCTTGATTTTAACCTAGCCATTAATTTTATATTTTTGTTTCAGATTTACATTAAAACAGGACTTTGGTGAGCATGTGATGTCAAGACACCTTCTTTCTACCTGGAAGACAGTTACATTATGTGACACTGAGAAGAGTGTGTATTTCAAGACCAGCAGACAAAATGAGAGCTTGTTCCCTGCACGTGGTGTACAGATTTATAGAGCGAGGGGAGTAGGGGTGGGTGGGTGGAGAGAAGGGCAGATGTGGTGCTTAAAATCACTATAGGGAGCAGAACCTAGCCCAAGGAGCTTGGGTTGAATGTTGTGCCTCTGGGCATCACTTTATTTGTCCCTGCCCAGTTCTAACCCCTCCCTTCTCTCGCCTCCTTCCCACTCCAGCCGAGAGCCATCGCCCTAGACGGACCCTGCAGGAGCGGCTCTTAGGAGACCATTCTTCTGTGGCATTATGGCACCCCTGATTAAATGTGAGTTAATACAGACATGAATACAAACACTTGTAATAATGAGGATATTGTTACTATTTTTGACAGTGACCTATCTACTTTGAAAAGTAGATATGAAAAGGTCTTAAAGAGAAGTATTTACATATTATTTTATTATTATTTAAAATTGGGGCGAGGGGAAGAAACGGTCATGATCAACTTATCTTCCACTTATGACTTCAATGGTAGATGAGAGATGATCTTTAATGAATCAAACCTCTCAAACACTCCACTATTTCACTTCTCCCCAAATTAGTTCATTTCCCAAATCTCGCTGGGTAGGCACAAAAAGAAACTAGCTGAATTGTGACAGGCTGTCTGCTGTCCTTCCCCTGAGCATCCAGCTATCAGCAAACCGAACAGTGCATTATTATCCAAATGAACTCACTGACCTTGTTTTAAGGAGAAAGGCAAAGAGGGCAAGGGGAATACATATTTCAAGTTTTAGAGTCCCAGTGGATCTAGATTTTTAGGCAACTTCAAACTTAGGTAACAGCACGGCCCACTCACTACTACGGTCTTACTGGGGGGACCCAATCGGGGATTCAGGAGTCCTGTCCACACAGACTCGACCTCCTCCCTTTCCTCATTTCTTTCCCGGTGGAGAGGTGTCTCCACCTGCTAAGATCTCCAAGTATAAAAGCCCAGTTTGAACGCCATGGAGAAATGTGATTGACAAACTAAGAGAGGCGGCCGTGATGGGACAGTGCACAGCACACGCCTGGCGTGGACAGCGGCAATGGGACGCGAGCACTTAATTTTGGAGGAGGTGACATCACGCATAGAACTTGACTGCGCGCTGCTGAGGTAGCAGGGCTTAGATCACACGCTCACAAGTCTCGGTTGTCCAAAAAAGCCTCTGTTCCCATCTCTAACGTGGAGCTGGAATGGTTAGTATAATTCAATTTTTTCACTGCAATCCACAATCTGATTGATTGGCAGGTCACACTGGCACTCCTACCTGAGGTATTTTAGCGCTAATGATTGGTTCCTGTAAGACTATTCTATAACAGAACACAGGAAGAGCAGTTCAAAAAACACAGCTGTGGAAGGAAAAACAATCATACAAAAAGCCCGCTAAGGGGCCCACCAGCCTTTTCTTTCCTTTGGATGCAAGCATGCTTTTCACAGGGTAAGAATTAGGAGCAGTTTGTTATCCCTTTAAAAAGTGAATTAGGGTGAACCATGCCTTTTCTACTGGTCAAGAAAAAGAGGGGTGGGGAGGGCACATGATCTATCTGCTACACTAAAGGCTTCTCACTGTGGTCTCTTTACAAACTGTGGGCACAACTGCTAGATCAGTTCCCCAGAGAGGCAAGAGCCACAAAAGAAACAGAAAAGAAGCAAATGGCTAGCAGCGATTACGGACTAACAACAGAACAGGGAAAGAGATTAAAAAAAAAAAAAACTCCATAATTAACAGCCTACATCAGTACAACTTAAGATAAAACGGGCAGCTTAAACTTTTTCCTCATGATGTTTCTTCAAGCTCTGGTTTGGTGCACTTCGTGTAGTGGATGAACCCTCCACTCGTCCTACTGCTCATCTGTATTTCTGAGGAAACAAGGACTCTGTGTATATGGACAGATTTCCACAGGCGGGAAAATGTACAGAGAGAAGGAGAACAAACTCAAGGAAACACAGGGGTTGTGTGTGTGCGTGTGTGTGTGTGTTTAAAAGAAGCATCCCTTGCTCCCTCACATCTGGAAGTGGGAATATTAAGTTCTCCAAGCTGTAGTTACATGAGCCTTCACTCAACGGCTACACCTCATTATGTAGCGGGGTCAGATATTATTGCAAAGCACTGGTGACCAACTTTTCCCTTCAAGTGACTGCTTTAAGATAGAAACTAAGAAATGGTAACATTATGATTAATTCTTTTTGTTAAGAAAACTGATCAAACAAGTATTTCAGCAAGGTCTCTAAATTATTTCTATTTAGCTTCATAAGGTGATCCAGTTAGTAGATTAAAAAAATTTTTTTTCAAGAGTATTTTCTAAGTACAGAAAAATCATCTCTCTCTTAATAAAATCATACATTGTGAACTAAGGAAATAAAAGAACTGTAAGCAAATATTTGGTCGGTTCACTTAAACAAGGTGGAAGTAGGCAAATCTTAATAAGGTAGAAGTAAGCCATACTTAAAAAAAAAATCCCCAAATAAAGAAGATATTAGAGAGAGAGAGAAAAAAAAACACCTTTAAGAAATAATTCCAGTGGAAAGGCATGCTCTAATAAATCAAATTTCAGGAAAACAATTTAAATAACATAAAGATGAGTTTCATGAAAATATGGATACTAATGTGTATGGGAGAATGTACATGCTAAGATCATATGCAAATACGTATATTTAGAAAAGTGTCATTTGGTATAAAAGCAGGAATATTCCCCCAACCCTCAAGTTTCACTGTGAGCACAGGAAAAAAAGGTACCTTTCATTACCTCTTGAAAACCATCTGAGGAAAGATGTGGATTTTAATTAAAGCACTGCGAGAGGTAATGAAATAGGGACTAAGTTTTGTGCTTGGCTATGTAAATAATTGATGTAATCTGGGTAAGTCACAGTCTCTCTAAGAAATGTATATAATGAAGTGAGAGGGTTGGACCAATTCATGGCTAAGATTCCTTTCAGCATTTGTTAAACTAAGGCAAACTTCGGAAGTCTACTCTAAATAGGACAGGTGTGTCCAGGCACCTACAGTATCCCAGAAGACTGCTTTATCCTATCTTTACCTCCTGCAACACACAGAACCTCTAAGTACATTCTGAAAGTACATTAAAGTTTTCTGACTGCCAGAGAATCTCTGGCAGAAATCTGTGGAAACAGTTCACTGCAAAGGCATACCCTTATTGATTTGGGGAGGTAAGGATGGAGAAAGCATTTCTGGACAATTCTAACCTTTGCCCAAGGAATAATTTCATGCTGACAAGTTTTTCTTAAGAAATTTCTTAATGATTTGGATGGTTAGACTAAGCTTGCATTCAGAAACAGATCATCTGGAGAGGTCTTAATAAAAGATTTCAAAGCTCAAAAACTTTTGGATTCTTTGTCAGATCACTTTGTCCACATTTTAAATAATATGTGACAAACCAATCATGATATAACAAGACAGTTTCAATAATGGATAATAATAATGACGTTAACATGGCTGAGAAAATCAACAGATCCTATATGATAGTCAAACGTTTGTAAGAAGAGTCTAGGTTTCTAATTATGCCACTCATTTCCCTCTAGATGGCTCTTAAGAAAAGAGACCCACCAGTTGTGGACCTTTTTGATAAAGCAAGGCCGGAAGCACTGAGTGTCTGGTTTCTTCTCTTTATCCCCACTCTTCACTGGCATCAGCTCCTTCCTCCCCTTTCACAGGGTAATGCTCTCTCAAAAGTATACAAAATAGGAAAACACATAGTTCAGAAAGCTTACTGCCATCTTAAATCAAAGCTCCAATGATCTAAAGAGGGATATGAAATGAGAAGAAAAGCAGAGAAGAGAGAGAGTTGGTATAAGCTAATGTTAACTATCCTGTTATTTATGTATGCACATGACACGACAGTAATAAAAGACTTTAAACCTGCTGATCATCTCGCAAATAAATCACTGATACACAGAACATCTGTGGGTATAGGGAAGGGAAAAGAATATGTCCAGTAGACTGACTCTAGCAATGATCAGGAAACCCAAAGGCTTAGTTTTTGCACCCAGGGGCAAGCGCAGTGGCAGAGAAGCATGCTTGCATTCTTAAATATATAAATATATATATATATATATCCACAAGGAAAAAGAAAATAAAAATTAAACAAATTATATGTAAAACAAAACAAAACAAAAAACCAAACCAAACCAAAGAAACAGAAAAAAAAAGGCTGGCTTGTCAGGGAATGGGGTCGAGAAGGCCCCGGTGTGTGTACTTACATAGAGGTCAGCACCGTAAAATCCGTCCTGGTAAACCACACTGCAGAAAATCCACACAAAAACAAAAACAAAAAAACAAAAGAACAGAAACACATTCCGGTTATTGAGGACGGCAGCATGCACATGCGCTCTACACAGGCAGGTGATGTATGAATACATAACGGGGGCTGGGGGCCGCAGCGCGTGAGAGGACCGTGCAGGTGCGCACGCACGTTATACAGCTCCAGGGCATGCGAAGAGGGGGAGGAGTGCAAAACTGGAATGGACACCTGGACACTTGGTCATTACAGGAAGATTACAACAATAAAAAGCATTCCCAGAGGGCCTAATAGAACTATCGGAAATCTGCTGGATGAGAAACATCAAGTTTTCATACTTGGGTTTTTTTTTTTTTTTTTAAAAGCTTGCCCTAGGAGGACATTTTTCTTTAAAGAGTTTCAAAATGACTGCATGTGTATGGGGTGGGGGGAGAGGCACGGAAAGAGGGATCTAATGTGAAAAATAAATGAACCCAAAGAATTCCATCAGGGCAGGACCTGTATGTAGAGTATGTTTCAAAATTATGTTTAGTATTTTGTTTTCAGTTTCCTAGAAGTATGTACATTTTTTTTTCTGATATCCATACATCACCTGCTTTTTTACCCTGCACATTAGACATGCGATAAGATTTGGCTGATCACACAAGCATGCAAAGTATTATTATTCAGCATTTTAAGAACCAATGCAACACCTCAGAAAAACAAGTCAATCAATTCTGACCAAAGTAAACAGAGAAATGTAATTAAAAAAAAAAACACAACCAAAAATACCCACAATGCATTGCTTTCACAAGCAGAGATAATGAGCTAAAGGTTAAGGTGATTGGTCCAAGGTCCAAGAATTGAAAGGTGCAGTGGGGATCCCAGATAGTAACAATATAATCCAGAGCGGGAAGGAGGAACTGGAAGATTTTAAGGGTTCTTTTTTGACCATAAACATATTCATGGAACTCTGAAAAACAGAACTGATAACTGACGTTCTGGGCATGACTAAGGATCATCCTGTTTTATTTAAAAGGATAAAACTGAGAAAGTAGCTGATTAGGAATAGAAGGGTTTATTTTCCTGTTTAGAAAAATGAATTTGTATCAAACAAAATACGTGGATTTTTTTTTTTTTTTAAATCCTGGGCAACACTAAACTATTATAATCATAGATTTCAAACATTTTGAGGTATTTCTGTGCATATAGACTTCCCCCAAAACATTACTTTGGGACCAAAAGACATGAAACAGCAGTGGAGATACAAGATAAGACTTTCTTCTTCACATTTGTTAAATCAAGATTTGGATATTTTAAATGAGAAGATCTGTTTATTGTTTATTCAACTAAGCAAGCTGGAAATTTCACCACTATCTTCTCTGTTGTAATAAACTAGTGAGGTCTTTAAATCATATTTTTTTACTTGAATATGAAATAATTTATTTTTTGCAGGTAGCTGGAAAGTTTCTGAATTCTATTTACAATGATATTTTGTTGGGTTTACAGGATAGTATGGTCACACTTTGCAATGCCCCAAATATGCTGCGCCTTTGTATTACACAACAGGCAGATTGAATTCATCTGTGATGCTCATTTAGCTACTACGTTCTATCCATTTTCATAGTTTCCAACTGCAGTTAGAGATTGATATTAGAAAGTAATCTGCCTCTCAACTACATTTTAGTAAAAAAGACACTTGTTCATAAGGAGAAGGCTGACCGAATGGAAAGCACTGAAGCCAAGTGGTGATTAACCTTCAACTATTTCAGTAGGGGACACAGGCAAAGATGACAAACATCTCTTCGACAGAGAAGAGTGGTGGCATTAAAAACACGAATTAAGTTTACCCTAAGTTGCATCACTCACTGGGAATATTCACCTAAATTCTAGAAGAATTCTAATATTCCCTGTATCAAATGCCACAAGGAAGCTAGAACATAATGATTAATGATGAAATTAGTTTACTAAGCTGAAAAGCAATTTTAGGCCATTCCCCATATAATACTGGACTTATTCCTTGCCATCTTCCTTGTAAACCGGTGGTTTAGTTAATAAAAAAGAAAACATGGGAAATCAGTGTTCAATGTAATGCACAGAGATTGGTATGATTAGACATAAAGATAAAATATCTTTGAGCGAACACAATCCTGACACAGACTTGGCAGAGAATGGGTTCTCAAGTTTGGCCAATATACTGAAATGAGCTACATCGAATAGGAACGAATCCAACCGTTTTTATAAAGTAACTCAGGAAGATTACAAAATAAAAAAGTCCCATGTTTCTGGTAAGTGGTATCGCTTTGCCAGCATGACGGTAAACTCTCTTGGATTGAAATGGAAGGCGCTTCATGAACAATTTTCCTGGTGTGCAGAACTTCCAAAAGGTTTGTTTTTATATTTTACTTGAGTATTTCTTGATGAAATAATACTGCATCTTTATTCACTTCTTTAAAGAGATGTCAGAGGTTGAAGGTCAAAGGTCAAGTTGAGAGAAGAAAGAATAAAATTAAAAGCAAGTAATGGCAGAAGATGGAGATGATGGAATGCATGGGATTTAAACATCTATAAACTGCAAACAAAAGTTTATTTCTAAAGCAGTTACCTTCCGGCAGCTTTTGGAGCCTGTCCAGTTCAACATGCATACTTGTCTAGTAAAAATGCTTTAATTCTGTGCAACGGAGGACCTCTAATGGCATGTCCATTTGGTCTATGAATGAATGCTAAGTTAGTATACCTCAAAGCCAATTCTGCTGTCAGAAAAGGACCTACAGAGGAGGCTCTTTCCCTTTGGGTTTTAACTAAGTAGCAGTGAACAGGCTCCTCTGCCACTGCATTTCTTCCTCTGAGAGAATATGGAAAAAACCCTGTCATAGGCAGAGAAAAGATGCAGAACACAAATGTCGCCTCTCTGAAGAAAGAAAGTCCTTAGTACAGCTAACTTATTGAAGTCCACTCTTCATAAAAAGATACATTTTAGGCTAACACTGAGAAACAACAAAAAACAAAACCTGCCACCTTCACTCCTCCCCCGTTCAAACAGCAAAGGATTGATTTGTTGCTATGGAATCATTCCACTGCGTGAGACACCCTCCATACAAAAATCAAAGGGTGAGGGATGCTCAGCTACATTAGTTGTTTTACCATCATTCAGAAGCCAACTGTAGTTTAATTCTTCCTACTTCTCCCTTTCTCCCTGGATTCAATTGGACTTGGTTCATCTTTGAATTAACCTCTTTTAATCCGTTTCCTACAAAGAAAGCAAATCCATTGTGGGTAGCTAGCTCTGCTGCTCACCACCCAGGCAGTGAAACCAAAAGGGAGGGCGATGTGGTAGCCTCAGCCCCAACACAGGGTGGTGATAAGGGGGTGAGCACAGCAGATGCGGTCTTGGACTACAGTCTTGAGCTCCTATTTTGGTTCTCTGCAGTAGTGTTAATCCATATTCGTGCGATGCTGAGTGAACTCCATGCCAACACACTGCTAGTCAACACAAGACCGTTCTGGCTGCTGTCTTAAGCCACTACCACGAGGGCTTAAGGAGGCCAAAATGAAGATTTATATAACGAATCGATATTGTGTTACATTCTGATGATGGTCTATTTTGGTTCTTGCCATCTAATCCATTAATTTACAAATATTCACAGAATCTCTACGATGTGGCACGGCAACGTTCCAGAAGTTGTGAGAGGGCCATGGTATTCTTTTCCGTCCAGCTGCTTATTTTGGAATCTCGTGCTTACCCTGGATAGGCGGGAATGGCTGTTGGAGGTACCGCTCGGACCGCACCGTATACCGTCCGCCCTCTGCCCCTCAGATGGGCTCCTCTGAAAGCGGCCGCCGTGGTGGCTGCAGTCGGGTAAGGGAAGCCAGGAACTAAAGGGAGACCCAAAATATGACAGGAATGTCAACTTGCATTCAACAGCAGGGGGTACAATCCCAACTTGCTTTGAACCAATTCCAGGAAAGGTGGAAAGATATGTACGCCACCTTTTCTGAGAAAAAAATGGAGAGACCCAATATGCAAGGCTAACGACGCACGCTCTGTTCATCACCCATCTTGAGTGAGGTTACTCTGCTCCTTCTCAATTCTGGCATTTACAACGCACGCTTGGTGAGAAACAGGGCAAGAAGCTCTGAGAACTACTGCCATAATAAGAGATGAGACTTTTCATTTCTGCGGGCAGTTTACATGGATTGATATAAACTCTTTAGCTGGCCAATTATTAGTCTTGTTTTCCCATGTTACTATGTACATATAATAATTATTCTTTGTAAGAATAGTCTTTTGTGTTTGTACATGGTGCCAATCTCCAAGGCACACAATAATCTTTAGACATTTCATTAGTCCACTTTATTCTTTTATCTAAAATGTTTTAATCCAGAAATGTTAGGGGAGAGGGAAACGACTTCTCCCCTGTAATCTTGTGGCCTTTAGGGAGGCAGGCAGTTTCTAAACGTCTATTTTAAATGTGCTATCCTTTGGAAAGCACACAGAAACATTTATTTCGTGTTCACTGAACTCTTTTTAATTATAACTTTTGCTGGAGCAAAATGGCTCAGGTCAGAATGACTTTAGAGGTATCAACAGAGCGGAGAATAATCATTAATACCGGACGTACTTCTAAATGATACTCTACTAGAGGGCCCAAAGCTGACTTGCAGAGAATATAATATATTCCACAAGTACCAATTCTTTGGTTTTCTTTAATATCAAGTGCAGACTAAAATGTTCTACACATGTCCTCACCCCCCTCGACCTTTTCCAACTATTTATGCTTCGTGGCAATCTTAATATCTGGTCAGAAAGATTCTAACACAGGTTAAGCAGGACAGGGCACTGTGACAGCATTTAACTCTCTCGAGAAGGCCTCCTCTTCAGTTACATATTATACTCGAGGAAGAAAAAAAAGACTAGCACACATCACTGTTTACTCACAACAGTCAAAATCCACGCCAGGCCAACATAGGCTACTTACTGATTAAAGGAATGTAAGTGTTAATACCCCCTCTTCCTGATAGGGGCACTGCTGCATCATTGCCTAGGGACACGTCTGCTTGAAAGCTGGATGCTGATTGCATTTAAAAAAAAATTAAAAAAATGCAAAAAGATTACAAAGAATAGTAAATTGAAAAACAACAGATGTGTTACAGTTAACGTGCTCACAAATGGAAAAATTAACGAAATACTACCTGCATATAACTCAGGGCCATATACAGCTCCAACTACGGGGCTTAATTTCCAACCTGAAATGGGAAGAGAGGACAGTGAACATTTAAGATTACGTGAGGAACACGGGGAAAAGGGGTGATGAGGGCATGTGCAAGCTGGCTCCAGATACCCCTGGGCTTAGCTCTACCCATCACCATCTTCTCTGTAAATGCCAGCTGGGAGGTTGGGGGGCGGGGCAGGCATTTCCACAGTTGAGCATCTTTAAGCAGGAGGAGCACAGTGCGAGGAGGATAATGAGGAGCTGGGCGGGGGTAAGGACGGGCGAAAACTGGAGGGAGAGAAAAACTGGGAGGGAAGTAGGAAGACGGAGAAGGAATGAGAGAAGGACAAAGAAATATCAGAAATATAAATCAATCCTGGCCTCTGGCATGGTCTCTCTCATAGAACTGCTCAGAAGGTATTCTTTATTTTTAGAAAAAGGAGAAAGGCAGAATATGTCATTCTACACCACACTGTGATGCATTTTCTTATACATTATCTTCACACTATTTGCTACTCTCGCTGCTTTATAAAGGTATCCTCTGAATTCAAGTTTGAGCTGATCTTTGGCTCTGTGTTCAATCATACCATGCTGATGCAAATCTGGGTAAGCCAAAATCCCCTTTCTGTGGGATTTACCATTGGAATTTGGTTGGTTAACCTCAGGCAGGTGAACAAGAAGAGACATGCAGTAATAAAATTCAAGGTACATCCCCAACTTCATGCATGTCTTGGGATTTTACTGGTAATACACATACTTAACCAGTCGTTTTAGCTAAAGGATACTAGACTGCTGTTGAACATCAGCCTAAGCATTTATAAACTTTAAGTATTCCCAGACATTAGGTTTGATGTCAACTTTATTTCTTCATTCCCCCTTTTTATAGTTATAGGAATGTAGCAGGAGTTACAAAAGAAAAATGTACTACTGCCCACTGATAGTTAAGGAGAATTCCAGATGAAAACTTTAATCAATAGACATTTATAAGAATTTTACACAAAGTAAGCAAACATGCTCCATTATTTTTCTGAAAGAATGGAGACAGTATTCAAGAGAAAACTCATTCATTCTGAACCAATCCAATCCCCCATTCATTATTTTATGTGCTCATAGATGGTGAGCACATTATTTTACATAAAAGTTGAGCAAATATCTCGGTTCAAATCCTACTGGAGTTGTAAGAACACAATGTTCTGCAATGTCAGACAAATCAAGTGATTCTAACCAACGTAAACTAAACTGCTGGCTGAGAATTCACCAGAAGGCACCTAGCACACTCTTCTCAGAAGCTTTAACCACAAGCAGCTATAGGTCTCTAAAGTTTGGCTCTGTTAGGCTTGAATATTAATTTAGAATAATATTCAAAAAATGACTTTTTTCCTTCCTGCCAATGGCATTATTACTTAAGTATTCCCTTATGTAATAATACACATTTTAATAATGGTATATAATGGTATGCTGTCAATAATACTTGGAATAGGGGTGCCTGGGTGGCTCAGTTGTTAAGCATCTGCCTTCAGCTCAGGTCATGATCCCAGAGTCCTGGGATGAAGCCCTGTGTCGGGCTCTCTGCTCAGCAGGAAGCCTGCTTCTCCTTCTCCCCCTGCTTGTGTTCCTGCTCTCGCTCGCTCTCTGTCAAATAAATAAGATCTTTAAAAAAAAAAATACTTGGAATATGTTTAGTTTTGTACAATTTACGATGTATTTTGACCTTTACAAAACCCAAAGGGAGAGTTAAGAAAGGTACCACAGCTGGGACAAGTAAATACTGTACTTCTCTGGGCTTAATTTCCTAAATAATAAGCTAAGAGGGCTGGGTTTTGATGACTCCCACAGTGCCTTCAGGTGCTAAAATTCTGTGACTGCCAATTAATAGAGACAAAAACAGAATCAGGTTAAAAAAACTGGCCCAGGGGTGCCTGGGTGGCTCAGTTGGTTAATCGACTGCCTTGGGCTCGGGTCACGATCTCCGAGTCCTGGGATCGAGCCCTGCATCAGGCTACCTGCTCGGCGGGAGGCCTGCTTCTCCCTCTCCCTGGCCCCGTCTCTCTCAACAAACAAACAAATAAATAAAATCTTTAAAAAAAAAAATTGGCCCAATGCCACAGAGCAAAATGAAGAATCAAATCTAGAAGTAGAATTTCTGTCTTCTAAATTCCAGTCAGTGACTCTTTCTACGACACCATTCTCCCTGGATCTAAAGGAAATTTGACATACTTTGCTTCTCCTTCCTATTTTGTTTACATTGGGTTATTATCAAAATTGCAAACTTTTTTTTTTTTTTAAAGATTTTACTTATTTGTCAGAGAGCAAGCGAGCACAAGCAGGGAGAGCGACAGGAAGAGGGAGAAGCAGGCTCCCCACTGAGCAAGGAGCCAGATGTGGGACTCCCAGGGCCCTGGGATCATGACCCAAGCCGGAGGCACACGCTCAACCAACTGAGCCACTCAGGCATCCCAGAAAGTTGTTTTTGTCATGGTAGTGTAACAAAACAAAACAAAACAAAACAAACAAGAGGTAAAGGGGGAGGTGGTGGTATCACATGATATACCATTGATAAAATGGGTAGGGAAAATGTAAATTATGCTGATAAATGCAAATTATGCTGATTTATACCATCTGTTTGAAAAGGTAGCCTAAATGTATCTACTGAAGACATCACGGAATATACTGAGATACTTATATTTGATTTAAGACATTACCTGCACATACTATCATACTCTAGCAGTAGATTCAAACTTCTAAAAAGCAGCAGAAAACATCCCATTCGATTCTAGATAAAATTTCATGCAGAACGCTAAAATGTATGACAGAGAAGGAGTTGCTGCAGGCCTTAAGACCCAGCCCGTGGGTTTCCTCCCCACCCCTCCCCCAAAGGCCCTGTAGAGCACAGCTGGCAAGACCACTGTTGCACTGTGGGTTCAAAGTCAGGTCTATCAATCAGATGACATGGGTCTAGACTAAACTGACAAATGATGTACAGGTTCTGCTTTTGTTAGGCAAAATATTCACAAGGTTTCTATCTTAATGAGAAACATGTATGAAACCCACTCTATAGCATGTAGTCCTGGGACAGAAGATGGAAAACACATGCACGCATGTGTACCATGGCTATTCTCTCTAGAGCATATCTTTAACAGGAGAGCAGGGGTCAAGAATTACTCCACTCAAGCTCAGATGCGGGTAGGGATCAGCAGTAAAAGTGAGCATTGGTGGGCACGTATTACGGACAAGCCTATCATATCACAAAGAACAGTAGCAGCTAAAAATGAGGGTGCCTTAGTGGGACCCCACTAGGTTAACAGGTAACCTCAAATGACGTGTTTACACCATGTGTATGATGAACTTTACTGAGGTCATTACAGCTTAGTAACTGAAAAACTAAGCTTAATTCTAAGAAACAAGTTAACTGTAAAAAGATAAAACTGTAAAAATACTCTCCTAGTAAATAGTTCAATGTAAATGAAACAAACTGCCATAGGACTGAAATCAAGAGATTCTTTGATGATTACCCGAAGTTCACATATTAATACAAGAATAAACGACACCCTTCTGAGGATGATCCGTCATCTCTTACCATTTGCATATGGTGTGACCATCTTCTTATTGGTCATTACACGCGCTGTAGCATTATTCACCTAAAAACATAAAGGAAACAGAAGGGGCAGGGAGAAAGTAGACCATATTAGGGAACATGAAGTTGCTCATCCGGTAACACAGCACTCAGTTTAATAAAATGTAAATTTCAGAGAACATTGATTTTAAATAATTAATATAGCAATATAAAATATTAATATATAGTATTTTAATTAAAGTGTTTATAAAATGAGGCTAACAAGAGTAAAATGCAGTTTCTTGGTCTCCAAATGGAAAACTTGGGCTAAAGGTAATAAAAGGAAAGATACATTTGCAAGTTCTTTGGGGATCTCTTAGAGAAGTCTCTGCATTATGGAAAATATGGGAAAAAGTAAATTGGGAACAACTCTGCACATGAACTTTGAAGTTCATTGATAAAACAGAGGCTTGCCATATGGGTCAGGGAATAGGTTTACAGGAAGATAAGAAAATAAATCTATGGATTTCACCTGTTCTAATGTTCAGCATTTTTGATGACTGTGTAAGATTTTACTGTTTGAGGAGTTAAAAAAATATCAAAAGTTAGAATCCCATGTTGACCATCTTCAGGACCGGGCTGAATTTTCTAGACTATGTGGTCTATCCATTTAAGAATAATGTTTTCAGAAGGCCTTTACATGAGGCACTTAACAGAAAAAATAAAGCTTCGGTTTCTTTTGTTTTATGGTTCTCTCCACCCTCATTACAGAAGTGCAGAATTTAGAGCATTCTCAGTGCTAGGGTAAGTAGATGTTACAAAGATGGTGCTGATGACAAAAAGATGAATGGAGCCTCAAAGCCAGAAGACTGCAGCCCAGTATCAGAACCAGCCTAAAGCTCTTGCAAGGAGGGTGCAGCATCACCATAGAACCTGGCTGTATATCGTGTGGTCAAGTCAGAGAACAGGCCAGCTTTTAAAAGAATTGTAAAACACACCAAATATAAATGTCTTATTTTGCCTCTGGGGATTTACATTAAAGTTAAATTTGTATGGTTATAAATTTGTATTATGGAAAGACCAATTTTAGGTGGAACTGGAACCAAAAAATGTCTTAATAGGTCTTTTAGGATTGGTAGAGGAGAAATCTTCCTTTGTGAGGAAAAGAAACTCCATTTACTCTAGTTCGACCCACCAAATAATAGAAACATTTCACATTTAAAAAGAAAGAATGGGATACAACAATGATGAGACTGAGAGCATGCAGTTAAAACACACACACACAAATAAAAGAAAGAAAAAACAATCAGTTTTGGAAACAGGGGAGAGAGTGAAGAGCGAGGTTCTCACAGACAAGGATTAGAATGGGGTCAGAGCTTACACTAGCCACTAGAGCAGAATGCACCCAAGCGCTAAAAGGAAAATGGCCAGAACCAGTCAGAAACCACCAGTCAGCAAGAGACCAATAGCCGCAGGAAACAGAGAGAAGGGGTAGGAGAGACAGAGGGAAAAGAATGGGGACAGAACTTGGGGAAAGAGAGCAAGAAGGCAGGGGAAAAGAAAAGAGGAAGTCAGGAGGGGTGTTGCGGGCAAGGAAAGAACAGTCAGAGCTACAAACAGAGGTTTGGGGAAGGGGAAAGGAAGTAGGGGCAGGAAGTGCATTAATAAAACCAGCCAAACTTGGAGTTCAGTAACTCTGAGTAAGATGTGCAAGGGGAAAAAAATCACCATGATGTCAGTAATCAAACAGCTCAGACTGCTACAAACAATATGTACATCCAAAGTCCAGGCGGCATTACTCAAGAGCATTGAAAATAAAAGGGGGAAAGGAAAAGGAAGAGGAACAAGTCAAATCACATTTTGTAGTGTTAATGTGAGATGGCAGATGGACTTTTTCTTTCTTATTTAATTGTTTTGTAATTAACAATTGAAAAAGCTTCTTCTCTAGCGCTTCGTTTCACTTACCGCCAACGGGCACCATCGCCAGCATTGTGTATAGTTACCATGGAAAGAGTGAGTCAAGTGAAGGGCCCTAAATGCTAAACCATCGGAAAGGGAGGGAAAAAGCAAAATATGCAGACATCTTACTCAAAATGGTGGCTTTTATAGTTCATACTTTTAAAAACTGGGAAAGGGGAAAGGAGCCAGTTAACCTTCACTGCGTTCTTCAAAAGGGTTGGCGAACACCACGTGGCTGCCGTGAACACAGTCACAGCACATTCGTCAGGCAGCCGTCAAATCCTCGGTCTGAGGATTTTATCCATTAACTGCAGAAATTCTTGATATTAAATATACTTAAAAACTCCACGAGTTGTGGGTTCTTTCTTCCCTCCCCACCATCTCAGCAGGCTTGTACTCCTTGCTTATCACACGCACATGGAGGCGAACTGGCCGCCCGAGAGAGAGGATATTGGCTGGCTCCTTGATTAATTACAGGACACAATGTCACAAATTGGATAGTTTTTAGACATTTATAAAGTTAGTTTTATTTTGGCCTGATCACAGGTATTCATATGGAGTCTCGCAAACTGAAGCAAAGGAAAAAAATCAAAAGAGCAGAAGGATGAACATTTTGGAGGAAAAAAGTAAATGAGAAACATATATACATGTACACGCACACGAGTAAATCAAAATGAAACCCCCCCCCAACAACCAAAAAATGGGGAAAGGAGGACAGAAGTGTTACTTTTACACATTTTAGTGCAAGAAGGTGAATGACACAGACACACACACACACATGCGTGTGTGCAGACACACACACAAGACAGGGCTCCAAATGTGAAATAAGTGAGGGAATACACAAAAAGAGAAATAAAAATATAAACCAGAAATTGAATTATTGAAGACATGCACCTCGATTTTACGGCCCTCTACCACGGTGCCGTGTAATTTCTCCCTGGCCCTGTCTGCATCAGCACTATTCTCGAAAGTTACGAACCCGAATCCCTGCATGCAGCGGGAGAAGGGGGGAAAACATGCACATCGTTATATTGAAATATTGATCTCTTGGTAAACAGAGAAAAAATATCACAGTATGAAACTGACATCAGCATTGACTCAGCAATACTCTCTCAAAGTCATATTTTTGGTCCATGCATATTTGGTAAAGGGAAATTAAATCCAATAACAGAATACAGAACTGTAGTAGTAGTAATAATAATAATAACAATAATAGCAACAACAATAATAATGATAATGTAATTAACAACAAGAACAATAATAAAATAAAACATAAAGCATGTGAGGCCAGACCAAAATTAAAGTATAGAGCTACTCGGGTCAAACTCTTCCACCAAGAATCTGAACATTTTTTTTAGATGTTCTTTCTCTTTCAATGCTGTTAATTTACATGTCCCTTTATGTAATGCTAAAAATACTTAATTAAATCCATCATTCCCCAGTAACTTCCACATGAAGCCTTCCCTTTAGGAGTAATCACTGTATAATGGGGTTTTTAGGAGATACCATTTTAGCTCCACTCTGCCTGTTTGCTTGTATCACCATAATTCTTCTGGGAACAGAATAATTTAAAACATAGCCTCGATCTACAATTCTCTAGGTACTGGGTGCAGAAGAAGAAGAGCACCATGTTCATCTAAGCTAATGAAAATATCACTAAGTAGTGGCCAATTACGCCTTTTCTTCAATGAATTTTAAACAACCAGACTGGCACTCAGAGCAAAAATAGGTTCAGCTGAATTCCAGAAAATAGCTTATCCAAATGTGCCTAGATTACACATTTGTTGAAGCCTACATCTGCTACTAAATGTATTAGTAATTTTCCATGTAAAGGGAAAGAAGGAATAATCAAAAGGCGGTGCGAATGAGATGGGTTAGTGACATAAGTTGTATACTGTTCAACAGGAAAAGAACACCATAAAACAGCGATACAGTGCTCCTCTGAGTTAGAATTAATTTATTTGTGCACTGTACACAAATAAATTGTATGGAGCTTCAATTCACTGAGTGGATAAAGCAGGAACCAGGGAGTTAACCCACTTACTCCTATATTCACATTTATCTGAAAAGACTGTCTTGGTCACAATCATACCATCAATGACAAAAGCAGCAGGATTTACTATATATTTATATGACTATTTTATCAAGCATTGTATCAGTTTCATCCTAGGTGCTTTGTCCTTCTCTTTCTACTTTGCAACTGTAACATTTTCTCAAGCTATTTACATGTGTAGAGTAGTAAATTCTTAGGATTTTCTGGGAAAGACCTATTTCTCAATAGCTGCATTGTCCCTCTAGCATTCTTTGAACATTCCACTGTAGGATAACCTGGAACCCTTTGTTATTTTTATTGAAGTTCTGCTCTGCTGCCTTCCATGAGTCCTTCCATATATATATATAAAACATGTTCTTAACTGAGATGGTCAATAGTGTGCATTGCTCAATAAGATTTTAGAAAAGCAATTCCATCATTTTGAAGGATCTCATTACTTTGCATTCTACAACCATGCACTCTCCATTCTACAACCATGACTATATGGTTGAGTGGCGATCCATGGAGGATCCCAATGGATTATCTCTACCCGTAATCTGGATATCACCACAAATACCTTAGAAAGTGCAATGCTAAGCTGACAGAAAATTCTTAATGTGTGCGGCTTGAGGTGGACTACTACAGGTAATTTTAGTTAATTTTTTCTTTAAAAATATATGTTGAAAATATCAAACATTTTCAGAAACAAATTTTGATACCAACATGTTACAGACACATCGACAACTTGAGGTATATGATCTCAAGTTACTAATTAATGACATCGTTTCTTTGTCATCTACACTAGCCATCTGCCGAAGACAGTAAACCAGCTCTCCAATCCTGGAGAATCCTCCAATAGAAAAGTTAAATGAACCTTTCAGGAAAGGTCACAGGTAGAGATGAGTTTTTATATCACACTGTAGAAGTATTATAAACTGTATTTCAGCTGATTCTCACAGCCTCATACTTATATGTCTTGGGTTAAATTAATAAACAGTAAGTTAGTAGCTGGATAACAGATGATGTGGAGACTAATACCAGAGGTTTTTAGTACTGGCATTAGGACTATCCAGATCTACACACCCATACACTCACATACTTGTTTGTCTTTTAAATACAACCATGGGGTACAGAAAGGATAAATCTGTTATTTTCACTTTTAAGACGAAGAAAGTAAATCAAACTGAGCTTAAACACCCAAGCACCAACAAGGCCTTCTTCCTTCCAGGTGGCTTCTTTTACAGCTAATGGTGAGAAAATTAGAAATTAAGCTTTGAAACCTAAGTTCAGTATTCTATTAACTAAACTGCATTCATCCTAAAATCCTTCTGGTTTTCTTTTTCAAATCTAATTGCTAAATGTGTTCTGTGAGCCTCCGCTCTGTAATGGGCTGACAAGAGCATCTGTGACGTAGTAACTGCAGCCAAAAGAATTCAGGGTGGTATCACAAGCACTGACATTTTACAGCCAGCAGAAGTGCTTATATTCCAAAGGAAATGCTAATCAAGACACCAAAGATACAAAATGAAGCAATCTTCACCTAGGGTAAAGGACGAAGAAGGTCTTGCTGATACTTTGGGACTTCCTAATATGAGACAGAAGTAAGCAGATTTCCTTCTTTCCTTTGAAGATAAATAGACTTCGTGGCAGGCCGAATAACGGCCCCCCAAAGTTGTCCACATCCTAATCCCTGGAACCTGTGAATGTTACTACCTTACCTGGCAAAAGGGATTTTGCAGATGTGATTAAATTAATGATCTTGAGATAGGGAGATTATCCTGGATTATCCAGGTGAGCCCAATGTAATCACAAGGCTGCTTATAAGTTAAAGAGGGAAACGGGAGAGTCCAAATCAAAGTGCACCAGACTGAGAAAGACTGAACTGGCCATTTTTGGCTTTGAAGATGGAAGGGGGCTATAGGTCAAAGAATGTGGGCCGCCTCTAGGCGCTGGAAAAGGCAAGGACTTGATTATCCCTTAGAGCCATCTGAAAGAATGCAGCCCTGCAACACTTTGGTTTTAGCTTGGTGAGACCCATTTTGGACTTCTGACCTCCAGAACTGTATGATAATAAATCTGTGTTTTTGAGCCACCAACTTGGAAGATAATTTGTTCAGAAACAATAGGAAATTAACATATATCTCTCAGAAGTCTGTGATTAGAAAGGTAAGTCTAGCCAGCATTTTTAGACTACTGTTCTTTAATACTTTCCTCTTGTGTTGAAACTTTAGCTTTTCCATCAACTTAACTACAATTTGGTTTCAAGAATATTAACTCAAGGGTGCCTGGGTGGCTCATTTGGTTAAGCAACTGCCTTTGGCTCAGGTCATGATCCGTGGTCCTGGGATCGAGTCCCACATCGGGCTCCCCCTGCTCTGTGGGGAGCCTGCTTCTCCCTCTCCCTGCCACTCCCCCTGCTTGTGCTCTATGTCGAATAAATAAAATTAAAAAAAAAAAAAGATTAAATAAAACTTGAAAAAAGTTTAATGTACCATTCCTTCAATAAAATTTAGCATTTCTGAAAATGTGCCAGGAACTGAGCTGAGGATATTCACAGATTATCCAGGCTTAAAAAGTTACTAACAGGAAAATAATGCTTACATGAAATTATGTTTTAATGTCCCTTCATTCTTGGAAATCTAATTCGCATTAAGTTTGGTCATTTGGATCTCTTGCTTTGAAAAGAAAAATTTAATAAAGTTATGTCTAAACTTAACACTTTTTCCTTAGAAGAGCTTCCCCCAAAATGATTACATATCAGTCAGGAAAACAAAATAACCATTTGGAAGAGCTACAAAGTCGAAGACTGAATCTCAAATTCTTAAGAAGAGTAAACATTTCAGGTATTTAAGAAGATAAAAAAGAGATAAAAAAAAGTAAACTTTTCTTTTTTAATAAAAAAACCCGATGTTGATATGTTTGTCTATACTAGTGCTATCCGACAGAAATAAAACACAAGCCACATATATAATTTTAAACATTCTACTAGCCACATTAAAAAGTAAAAATATATGAAAGTAATTTCAATAATGTATTTTATTTAAAATAAAATATATGCAACATACTATCATTTCAACATGGCATCAATATAAAAAACATTAATGAGATATTCCTTTTTTCTGCTAAGTCTTTGAAATCATGTGTATTTTATACTGAAAGCACATCTGAATTTAGACTTGCCACATTTCAAGTGCTCAATGTGGACAGTGTATTGGACAATGCAGGTCTCTATGCTTTATACTATAACCTACAGCTCTCAGTTCCCAAACTCCTCTGTGTTACCAGTGTTCCCTTAGTGATTTACCCCTATCTTAGCTGCCTTGTGAAAACTGAGGAATGGTGTGTCTATCGGGATTATGGCTGTGGTCAAAATTTCTACCGAGTGTGACAAAAATTTTATCACCTGTCTTGACATTCATTTATCATCAAGGGCCTACAGGAACCGAATAACTGCCATCTTTTTAGTCTGGCCTCAGACTGCAATAAATAACAAGCAATAGGATGAGCATTGTAAAAATATTCTTAAATTTGTATAATCTTTGAGTTTTTCCATCTCAGAAGAATGAGAAAGAAAATTTACCATGTAACTTTTAAAGGAGAAATCAAAAGCAGACGTTCTCCTGGGTATGGCCGGAACATAGAAATTAAAAAATAAATAAAAGAAAAAGAAAACTAAAACCCATAAGATGATAACAAAGAAAATAAACTAAGCCCTTTGGAAACACATGCACTGTTAATTCAGTTTTAAGTATAATGAAAAACATTTCAACTCAGCATTACCTATCAAATTTTACTGAAAAGCAAAGGCCTAGTTAGTGCAATTTCAAAGACAGTCTTTTGACAATATTTTGAAAGAAATAAATAATTTCCCTTTGCATGAAATCAAAATCCAGGGAAACAGGCAAGAAATTATAACGCATTACTTGTGTCTGAGGATGGGATTAGAGGCTTTATCTTCCCTAACTCCAGCCTAAACTGAAGTCTAACCCAAATTCAGATCCCCATCATTCCAGATATCCACCTGTGAGAAGTAATGAGAACACATGAGCTAAAAACTTGCTAGAAATCTCAATAATGGTTGCTGCGATCTGGTCTGTGGTCCTTTAGTGAACTTAAGTTGCCACTGTCTGAAGATGTGAAGAGCTCCTACACATTCAGTATTTATGATACATGTCCCTTCGAACAACAACCACACCAGAAGTAGGTTGACAAAGCTTTATGGAAAATATAAACATTAGAATGTGTACATCTTTACTTAATAAGATAATTATATGTGATAATTATCACAAATAAATTGTTATGGGGCTGGGTGATAGTGTACAGAATGGTGGAAAGTCTGAATAAGTCAGTCAGAGAAAGACATACTGTATGATTTCACTCATATGTGGAATTTAAGGAATAAAACAGATGAGCAAAAGGGAAAAAGAGAGAGAGAGAGGGGCAAATAAAAAAACAGACTTAACTACAGAGAACAAACTGATGGTTACCAGAGGGGAGGTGGGTGGGGGATGGGTGAAACAGGTGATGGGGGTTCAGGAGTGTACTTGTGATGAGCACCAGGTGATATATGGAGTGTTGAATCACTATATGGTACACCTGAAACTAATACTACACTGCACGTTAGCCAATTGGAATTTAAGTAAAACTTAAAATTTTGAAAAGCAATGAGTTCTCAGTCACTAAAAGTATCTAGCAGAGAATGCAAAGTCAAGTTGAACTAGGTAACCATTATTTAGAGTTCTGTTTAAGATTCTATGTGAGTAAAAAGACGAAGGAAATACAGGAGATTATTAGTGAATATGTTCTTTTAATCAACTATTTGGTCTGGACATTAAAAATCACAGACCAACTATTTGGTCTGGACATTAAAAATTAGTTTTTCTAATTGTTTTGAAAAGGGTGCTTTTTAAAAGTTGTTATTCAAAGAATCTATAAGGAGAGGGGCAATACAATTTATCATTCAAACTGGAGTACTTTGAGGGAGGAAGGGGACACCAATAATCATGCTAAGAGGATGGCTACAGACTGGGACTATTTTGGATAAACCAGGACATATGGTCACTCTACCAATATATTATCTTTCTATTGTTTATAGTAATACTTTGTTGTGACTGGTGACATCTGGGGAATCAATAAAGTTATACATAACAATATAATCATTTCTAGATTCTATTTGAGTATATTACTTCCATTTCTTGGCAGGGGTAGCATTTTTCATCATACGTCCTAATTGAACATTTTCAAAAGGATAGTCTACCTTTGTTTTAGTTAATCATAGAAAATTAAATATGACTGACTTCATGCTTTTACAAAGGAGTATGGAGTAAAAAAAAAAAAGATTTTTAAAAAATCACACGAGATAATCTAAGTATATATTTTTGCTTGTGTATGAATGTAAATGATATACATTCATTCCATAATCTAGGAATATCAAATCTAGAATATGAAGGTCAAAGACAAAAAAAGGAAGATACTCAACAACAACTTTTTCAGGCAAGCTGAGAAAGCAGAATGCCGACAAGCCGGGGGTTGGGGGGGGATGGGGACGGGCAAGGGAGCACAACAGTGTTCATCTATGTTTTTAAGTGGGTATGTTCTAAAACCATACGCTGACAGTCTCATTATAAAAAAGAAGACATGGTAAAGAGTTGCTTTTTGTTTTGGAGTCATGTAGTTATTTAACTGTTTCACTGATAATTGTTTTACATTTAAGTATCACTTATCTCGGAATCATTTTGTGACTCGTTTTTCCATTACTGCTTCAAAAAAAAATTCAATAAAGCTACTTTCTGTACATTCAGTTAAAAGACTGAGCAACTCTAAAGAGAACAATAGGACCACTTAGGTCTCCTTATCTCTGGTTCCTTTCAAGACATGTTGTAATTTTATAGTCAACGATAAACATAAAAGAAATGAGAAAATAAACTTAATTTACAAAAAGAAAAGTACTCTTTAATTTATGTGAGGTGGATCCCAGAAGAGGTACCCAGGTTTTGACTCCAAAATAAACCTCTGTTAACAAGTCTCCAGAACAGTTTCGGGGGAACCCATTCCAAGAAAAAACTTTAGTGACAGTTAAGAAGGACAAAGGATGAAGACAGATTTTGTATCAGTCCTTGAAGGCAGATCCAGGCCATTCTGAATTCTGTGCTTTGTTTTAAGAACAACGGCCAATGAGTACAGTCTGTCTATTCTTTAGCAGCCCCAAAGAGAAAGGGGCAGTGTGGATACAGCATTTTACTGAGAGGAGCAGCACAGGCTTTTAGATTCCCCAAAAAGAAAAGGAAGGCGTGTGTCATTTAACCATGAAAATTACAGGGAGAAGCAATCGAATCAGGTAAATTAAACAATTTTTGGTAGTAGGCAAATCTTTGAAGTCAATGAAAGAAGCCTTGAGAAAGATCAATTTCCTTTGCTTCACAAGAATTCAATCCAATTATTTTCTTGGTAAGGAGCAAGGCCCCAGTGCCTGATGAAACCATACTGGGCTTCGGGTTGTTGGTCTAGTTAACAACTTAAGTGCCTACACTTAAAACTAAAAACGTTTAAACTATGACTTTGGATAAACAGTGTAGCAAAGAATTGTCACATGACATGTTCATGCACTTCTCATCTCTAAACCACTGTTATTTTTCCACCTTGGATCTAAAAAGGTCACAAAAGATAAAAGCAAAGGGCCAGAAATCCACTGTGAAGAAACTACAAGCATAAATAGTTTTACTGGTTACAGGCTGAGCAGATTTCACTTTAAAAATACTTACCAAGTTAAGTGCTGGAGAAAGTTCTGTATAGGCATATTAATCTTTTTTGTTTAACTGAAAACTGGAAGCTTAGAGTATAATTACCTCTTTAATAATTAACAAAGAATTATTATAATCAGAATTAAACACTATCAGTGCATTCTATAAAGGAAGGGAATAATAATCAGGAGCGTTAGAACAGTACATACATTTGTGTTAGTTTAGATGGGGCAGGAGGTGTATATATAACTGTAGATATATGCTATTAATTCCCAGGGCATGATGAATTTGGAGTAGGAAACTGAAGAGGTAAGTATTATCTCATTTATTCGCTTTACTTAGCTTTTCTCAAATTATATTCTTAGAGATTTAATCATAGCCAAGGGCTATTTCAAAGTTCAGGAGAGATGACCAAATGAAAAATTAACTCAAAAACTGTTCTAACCTAAAAAATGCAAGTAGAAGAAAACAGAGCAAGGTAAGTATTTCCAAGCTTGACCACAGCTGATTGTGTCTGTGGGGGGTATTTCATTTGTCGAGGAAGAAGAAAACTGTCAAATGAAACTTCTCGAAATTCAGTTCATTAATATTTTTTCACATCACTGTAAGACTTCATCATTCCCTGACTCCTAAAATCACTGCTGCTTATTTTAGTGTATGGAAATTCTAAATCATATAGATTGGGAATTTAAAATAGTAAATTATTAGGGGGAAATGTTTTAATTAGAATGTTCAGTTCTCATACAGAACACATTTAGAAGAGAGTACATATATCGAATCGTGCAGTGTTACTACATTTATTCTGATGCAAAAAAACCCAACTCACTATTTGTAATTGAGGGGATTCTACATCTTACCTCTCTGGGTAGAACTCAAAGGAGGAAATCAGCTTACAGTGAATTCCCGAGTCACTACTCCCTGTATTTACGCCTTGTCAAATTTATTCAAAAGAGAGAGCAAGTCTACTGAAGAAGTGAAATATTAAATTTGTTCCAAGTATGTCATTTCAAGCCTGATTTTTAAAAAGCTGAATTGTTCTGTTAGAATTCACAATAGAATTCTCATAGAATTTCACTTGAGTCCTCTCTTTCCCTTTACAGTAAGCATGTGAGGGCAATTTCAGTCCGCTCAAGGGCCGGGGTCTCCCGCCCCGACCCCCCTTGTCCTCTCCGTCCCCACACTTCTGCTTTTACCCCCACGCCTCCACTCCCCCAACTGAATGATTAGGGTGAAGTCTGGCCATGTGGTAGCTTATTTTTAGAGATAATCTGATCCAAGCCAGGTAAGTCGGGATACTTCTTGCAGGCTTGAAAAACAGCTTTAAGTTTTCTGATTATTTAACTGTTTAAAACAAAACTAAAAAGAAACCAGGCACACTTAATACTGAGATGGAGCTTACCTTAGAGCCACGTTCATTAAAGATTATTTCTACATCTAGGATTTTGCCAAACTGCTGCAGAGACAAAAATAAAAACATTTATTCATGGTCAGCTTTTTAACCACATACTTTATTTTCTCCTGAAAAAGGAAGAGTTGTTTTTTTTTTTTTTCCAACTGCTTATTCAACTTCCATGTTTCTACTTGTTGGTAGGTCCCAATACCAGTTTCTGGTTTTCCCTCATCAATGAGCCGATAATTTCTCCTTTTTTCACTCCTTTTTCAATTCACCCACACATGCATTATCCACCTCTGTATGGTAGAAGCTGTTCTCAGAAGATAGTCACAGTGTCACCCTCCTGCATATTTCTTCATGGACAAGAACTGGTGGTTTCCTAACTATGTGTTTAATGTTTTAAATGTCTCAGTTTTTTTTTTCCTCATTTATAATTTTAATCGAAGCACTGCTATTCATTTTTTTCTTAACTCTTTCTTATAAGCATCAAATTTTAATAGCTAAGTCAATTTTGGGGGAAAGAAACACCATCAAAGAACTTCCCTCCAGAACAAAACAATGATGTTCATTCCTCCAAACAACCAAATTCGAAGTCTACCAAAACAAAAACAAAAAGCCCACGCACTCACACACAAAAGTAACAAAAATCACATTCTAGGGGTTCGGTGCATTTAGCAGCCTTCGCTGTGCTGTCTAATCATCCTTCAGCTGACTTTCAAAAAAATTAACACCCTAGCGCATCAAAATATACGTTTTCCATTTGCTTTGTTTAAATTAAAAATAATAATTAAAAAAAGAAAACTTGAAAGAAATCACAATCAATTGCCTGACTCATTTCGATGTCATGTACAGCATATGAAGGTCAGGAAGGCTATTTGCAGCACACGTGATTAGGAGAAATAGGTCTTCAAGGCTTAGCTTTCTTCCAGACAGTGTAAAATACCCACAATTCCAAGTATGAAGGAACACAGACGATCTCCTTTGAGAATCCCACTGGACAATACAGGCGCCTGAGCTGTTCTTCATAGAGCGACAAGGCTTCTGTCAAATTGACACAGTTACCCTGTGTAAAGTACTTCCCATCCTGTTTTCAGTACTTTCACTGAGAGGTCAAGAATCAGTCTGAGAAACTCCCATGTGGAATCTTCTTCTGGAGATGTGGAGACTGGAACGGCTGTCAAATCATTAATCACATGATCAAACTCTCTCCCTTCTTTGGCGTACCTCTTCAGTACTGGAATACAGTCTTCTATTAGAACCTGATAGCAGTCTCCTTTAAGAGTGTCTAAAAGGTTGCCACATGTTTTTCGCATTATTTCTTACATCCATCAATCACCATTTGGTCAATCTCTACCATAGTGACCATCTTTGGTTTCAGTTTGACTATTTCACATAATATGCCCCCGTCTCCACCCCCAAGAATCAGCATGTCTTTACCACTGTAGTCTTCTTTTCCACTGCCCATGATGGCCTGGGTATATGCCAAATCACTCTCTGCCAGATTAAAGTCCCCACTAAGGATGAGAATATTTCCAAATTGCTTTGAGTGTAGAATTTTAATGTTCCGATAAGGTGAATCTTCATCATACACCACTTCATCGATGTCATACTCAACCCGGCGACCACCAGCAGTGGGCCAGTATCTGTCAAGAGCTCCTCCTCGAGTTATGGGTGGTAATCACTTCACCTGCACAGTACTGTCCTGACTCAATTCTTTCATTCTTTCTTCTACTTTGTTCAAAAGACTGTCAACTTCTTGGCCTTGTGAATCACCATCATAACTCTGAAGATCCAACACCACCAATCCATGTGGGTAAATTCTGAAACTGGCAAAGCTGCCGTTTTTGTTGATGTAGGTCGCTAGATAACCGTAGTCTTGCCAGTTGTGCACCGACTCCGTCATCCCTTACTTCTGGAAAATGGACTGGAGGCCTTTTAGAATGGTCTCGCCATCAGCTTTGGCGCCGAGCTTGAAGTCGAGCGTGCTGTACCGTGCTGCTGCCATAGTGAGGCGAGGCCCTGTGCCATGCCTGGGGGAGGCAGCCGCGGGAGACTGGGGGGCTGCACGGCGTGTCGGGGTGCCTTAAATGTCTCAGTTTTTAAGAAGCAAATCCTAAGGAGAAAGATACACTACTGAAGGCTGTTTTCCTTTTCCTTCTTTAATTTATAAAAGTAAACCATATTCACTGTAAAAGTCAGGAAATATAGATAAATAAAAAGGAAAAGAGGAAACAGAAAATGAAGATCCTCTGCACACCCACCATCTTACCATTCTGGTACACAGCCTTCTCCGCTTTTCCGCAGGCATATATTGTTAAGGACATATTTCCAAGTATTACTTCTTTTTTTTTTAACTTAATATGCTATAAACAGCTTTCCAAGTCAATAAATACATATCTCTGTTCTCATTTCTACAGACTACATGCTATTTTCCATTGTATTAAACATTCACGGACATTATACATGATTTCATTTATTTGCCAATTTAATATTTCAGCAATGAACACCATCAAGAACATTTTAAGTAGTAACTTTGTTTTATAATTAAATATTTTAACATTTGGGAAATAAGCTAAAAACACCAAGCCTAAATAACTATTGGTAGGCAGCTCAACAGCTGACTGGAGGGGCATACTTAAAACACAGTGGTTATTTGGAGGAGGCGTGTAGAAGTGGACAAACCAACCTATATGATTCAATGCTTGGATGAAATGAACTGAAGGGATGTGCAGGAAATCTCCTGGGATCTTTTTGGCCCTTCCAAAAAGATCTTTCCCTCTGAAAACTGGCCTCATAGACCCAAATTATCTCTTTCACTTGGATTTTAAATCAGAATTTGGGAAACGTGAAAACACTAAAAAATGAAAAGAGCAAGACAAATCATGCTTTCTCACTGGGCTGAATCATTAGTATCTTTTTCAGAAAACATGTACTAAGAGCCCATGTTTTCTAGAGTAAGACTTCTGGGCTTGATTCCAGTTTCATCATTTAACAGAACATTAGGAAATTAAAGGAGAGAGGAAAATGTCTTATTTTAGGTAGGAGGGGATTTAATTTTATTTCTATGCCTATCCAAACAACTAAGACTGGAATGGTGTTTTAGAGTTTTCCTTTTACATTTTCTAATGTGTCCTTATACCGTCCTACTGGGGTAAGGATTGCCTTCCTTTAATGGTTAAGGAAAATGAGGCTGAAGGAAGCCATCCGTCAAGTTTACACAGCTAATAAAATGAAGCATGGAATGCTTGCTCTTTACCACTGCTGATGTCCTTCCAAGGGATACGTACTAACCATGCAGAAGACAGAGCAACCCTACCAGGTGTCCCTTGCAAGGAACATTTTCTTTTTTTTTTTTTTTTTTTTTTTGCACTTAGCAGCCTTATAGGAAGGGCATAATACATTTCAAAAATCACTGATAACTGGCCTAGGCAGATCTTCAATGGACACAACTTTTCTGACCTGAGAGAAAACACACTTCTGGAAGATGAGAATATACTCCATTTTCACTGATCTCCAGAGATTAGGATTCCATATCATCTCTGATAATTCAGTAGAGAACCTAATAACTCATACTGCTGGGAAATTTCTTCTTAAATATAATATCAATTCTTTAAGCTGCCCTTTATATTTTCTGTTGTTTTCTCTTCTGGAGAGATGAACAGTTGGCTACCGTTTTCTGTGTAAAGGCTCTTTAAGTACTTCAAGAACATTATTAAATCTCAGTGCTGGCCTTGGCTTCGGTACACAAAATACTCCAGGTACTCAGCTGTCAGTGACAAAACTTTGCCTCAGGGTCTTGTCATCACGAAGCGGCCACGACCAGGACTTCAAGCGGGGCGCCTGCTTTCCTGACAAAGCACCATGCAGCAACAGCAACAAAGTTTTTTTAAACCATCATCTCTTGTTCCTAGTTCAAGAGTTTGCTCAAATGAAATCTGGCAACAACACATAAGCCCAGAAAAAAGGTACGACTTCCAGCAATCACTCACTTTCCAATAACTTAAATCTTTGCTGTTACACTGTTTTCATGACGGTGATTTCGGGAGGAAGTGGAAGCTGGAAGAACACATCAGAGGTAGCAAACCAACCACGTCCACCGGGTTTTAGATATTAGTCTTGCAGAGTTACAAGCGGGAAAGTAAAAATGAAACACAGGTACTATCTGCTTCACAGACATTAGGTCACTGAACTCGTAACACTCTGAAAAGTAAGGATTACTACCTTTGTCCTGATTTGAGTACTGAAAGGCTCACGTCCCAAGAGACCCCTCGGTCCCAGGCAAACCAGGTTGCATAGTCACCTTGTTATGTGAGAATCTGCAAGGCCCATGTCTAGAATGACAGGAATGACGGTGCTAGGTGACAGAAGTTCCTGAAGACTGATGAAAACACTGATTTACCTTAGGCTCTCTCTCAATCTATGTGCAGTCTTATCCTAAAGTCCTAATGACTTGTTAAAATACATCGGGTTTAAATTGTTGGGATTAAATTACATTTTCACTGTAAAACCCACTAAAGGACTCCAGAGACTTACCCCAAACATCTGTCGGAGGTCGGGGTCCCGGAAGCGAAAGGGAATATTAGAGACATGCAGCCGTTTAGGGGTGGATTTGCTCTCTGAGTTCTCACTACTTTGTGTCTGTGACTGCTGGCCATCTGTCTGCGCTCCCCCTTCTGTCTGCTGAGCAAAGAAACAGACAACATTGAGCAAAAAATAAATACGATTACTTCACAAGAATTATGTAAAATAATTAAAGCCCCGCCCCGCCATTTTCAAATAGTTCTCAAAAGCATATTTAAGCAAAAATTAGAGTTGCCCTTCAAAGGGAAAAAAACAAAACCAAAAATGTTACCTGTGTTCAAATTGCTATCATTTACAAAGAAAGTTTAGGCCTTTTGAATATTTACAGTACATTAGTGAAATAGAAGAAAACAAAAATACTAAGTGATCTTGCCTAAGACCACGTGGAGATCCATTAGGTATGAAAGATATAAAAATTGAAGACATAAAAATTGTACCATTATTCTTCTATTCTTAGTCGAGTTTTCCATTTCTGAGATCTTTCTATTTTGAAAATGAAGAGTCTGTTGTATGTGGTTGAGATCACTGCATTTTTGGTCTACCATTTTAGGAAATAAGGGAATATTTTCATGTTTCATTCCCTCTATTAGTTCCAGAGTTTATGACTGCTGGGTCACCGAAGTATCATAACACTGTTCCTGAAGAGGAGACACCTCACGACAACGACAATGGGCATTTGGCTTCAACCTGAAGAGCCTCTGCTCTGAAACCAATCGGCACTCTCCTCCCAATCCATGTGATTCCAGCTGACGTCATTACCGGGACCCCAGGCTCCTGCAGCCAGAGCAAAGCCCCATTTACAAAATCTACTGGGACAGGCTTTACGGACCCTGCATAGCCTACTGGACACCATGTAAACGGTAGGTCTGTGTAAACCCACAGTGAAATAGTACCTGTAAGCGTGGGGTGCACTTTTAATCCTCAATCTATTTTGCAAAACTGCAGGAATCTTTTTCCCCCTGATAAATCCTCAAAAAAGTTGCAACACAGAGAAGTACTTTTGACAAACATCTAACAGGTGTGACACATTCTAGGTATTCAAAACACATTTATTTTGAAGTATTCATCTGGCAATTTAGGAACCTTATGTTTTCACTGTTCCCTATGAAGTGCATGCCAAACTGGAGGGCTCGCGGAGCTGATTAAACCAAGAGTGGAACTCACTGTTCGAAGTATCTCAAGTGAGTTACAACTGAGTCCCTAACAGATTCTTTTGTGTGACGCAGAACAGATCCCCTCCCTTTGACCCAATGTTCAAGTAAAAGAAACTGTGAGTCATAGATACTTTTGGCTCAGAGACGTTACCAACCATCTTGAAATGAAGTTCGAGACTTTAAAATATAAAGGATTATCAGGAATAAACTTGGAATGAATGCTAGCTTTTCAAGTGTCAATCTAGGTGATGGCAGCTTTCATCTCATTCCATTCAGGCCTTGCAGATGGCTTAAATGTGCAATGATTCATATGATATAAAAATAGTAGAAAAGGGAAGAGCTACGAAGCAATGTTCTGCGAAAGTGTAAGGTTTTCGATCATCAATCTGGGCACAATGCAGACTAAACAAAACAAATTCCATTCAAAGATGAAACTCACTAAGTTACTAAGACGGTGTCATGGACACCAAAGCAATAAGCAATAAGCGTAAGTGTCGATTACAACTAATGCTCACTCAAGCACCTTCAAACTTGCCCTTTACATCTCACAGCTGGAGCCCATAAAACTACTTCTTCAGCCAAACTTTAAAACCACCAGATCTGATCTGTAGGATGTCAGTGCATCACTCTGATAAAAGTTAAAAAGATTGATTCTAGCTCCAAACCAGTTTTTTATATAACTTACACATATAGTTCATGTAATCTGTAATATTATAATGAGGTGGCAGGATAAATGAAAACTAATTATTATTTTTATGGCCTTGAAGACACAATTTAAGAAGGACAGAAGCCAGATTGGATCATTTTCTGCCTTGTAGTGAAAACCTACATTTTCTTTTAAGTATTTTTTATTTATTTCTCTACACCCAATGTGGGGCTCGAACTTACGACCCCGAGATCAAGAGTCGCATGCTCTTCCGACCAAGTCAGCCAGGTGCCCCCAAACACCTACATTCTTTAAAAGTACTAAGTCTTTAATTCTAGGGACACTTGGCAAGTTGAAAAAGTAAATTATCATTTCCAAAATTCTCAAGTCTTCTGACTTAATATATATTTTAAAATGGCAGTTTAACATACATAGATACAAATGCAGAAATCAGAAGCATGAATGAATTTTCACAAAGAAAATACACCCATGTAACTATCAAATTGGATGGAGCAACAGAACTTCAGGAGCACTCTAGTAAAACCGTCCCCTTGTGAAAGGGTCCCCACTACCCTGACTTCTAACTCCACAGAGTAGTTTGGCTGTTTTTGAACTAAAAAAAAGGAAAGAAAAGGAATTATACAGTATGTACTCTTCTGTGTTTGTCTTCTTTTAGACATTCTGTGTAACACACATACACACATTGTTATTATAATTCATCCATTCTTTCATTTTATAAACATACAGGACTTATTGGAGCTGCTTCCAGTTTTTGGCTATTAAGGATAGTGTTCCTATGGATATTCTTGCTACATTCTTGTCTTTTGGTGCAAACAGCCATTTCTGTTGGGTACATATGCACGTAGGAGTGATCTGCTGGCTTAAGAACATGCATTAAGCTCAGCCTTAACAGATACCGCCAGTTTTCCCAAGTGGCTGTACTAACTTATACCCAACTATGGATAGCTGTGAGAGTTCTACTGGCTCTGAGTATTGTCATTTTCATTGTAACTGGCGGGGGGCAGTGGCACCATATTGTAGCTTTAATTTGCTTTCTTCTCTTTAAACCTCAGATCCTTTCTGCTTTCCACTTAGAGAATTTTGTTGGAAAGTGGGAACTGCTTGTTAAATAGCAACTATTTCTTGAGTGCATACTATATCATGGACCATTCCGTAAGCCTAATAACAGTTAATACTTATATAGTGTTTACTATTTGCCAGACACTGGCCTACGCATTTTATGTATTTTAATTAATGTAATTTTTACAACAAACCCTAACAGTAGGCACTTTTTTTTTTTTAAACATGAGACTGCTGTAGGAGGTATTATTTTTTACCTCATTTTTCAGATGAGGACTCTGAAAACCAGAAAGATTGCCTAAGTTGCCTAAGTACTGGATCAGGGTTGTTCAAACACAGGCAGTTTGGCCCCAGAGTACATGCTCTTAATCATTATGTCATGTTGTAATGTACATGTATTATCTTTTCTAATACAATAATCTACGAGGGGGCACTATTATTACCCCAATTGACAGAGGCAGAAAGTAAGGCACAGTAGCTGCCCAAGGTCACATATTAAGTGGCAGAGCAGAAACTGAAAACCAGTTGGCTGAATTTCATGTGCTAGGCCTCCTGTCCAGCATGGCACCCACGCTTCCTCCTTCTCATTAGAAGGGAGAACATGTGGGGTGCCTGGGTGGCTCAGTCGTTAAGCGTCTGCCTTCGGCTCAGGTCATGATCCCAAGGTCCTGGGATCAAGCCCCACACCAGGCTCCCTGCTCGGCAGAAAGCTTGCTACCCCCTCTCCCACTCCCCCTACTTATGTTCCCTCTCCCGTTGTGTCTCTCTGTCAAATAAATAAAACCTTAAAAAAATGTTAAAAAAAAAAAAAGGGGAAACACGTGTGGATCCCACTCTTTCTCAGGACCCTGATGGGGAGGAGCAAGACCTCCCCCCTGGGCTGGAGGCAGCCATGGGGGTAAGAGAGGGAAAGCTATACAAGAATGACATGTATCCTATACCTTGAGGGAAGAGAAGCAGGTCAGGCCACAAAGGGAGGAAAAGCAAGAATTAGAAAACTGGCAAAGGCACACTGGTACTCACAGGAAAATAGCCAGACAACTACTAAACTGATATTCAAAGGGGCTGAGGAGCAGATTTCTGTACACAGTGGACATAGGAACATGAAATACACACTGGGAGCACCTGGGTGGCTCAGTCAGTTGAGCGTCTGCCTTCGGCTCAGGTCATGATGCCAGGTTGCTGGGATGGAGCCCTGCATCGGGCTCCCTGCTGAGCTTTTCCTTCTCCTCCCCACTCGTGCTCTCTCTCATTATCTCTGTCTCTCTCTCTCAAATAAATAAAATCTTAAAAACAAAAGGATATACACATCGAATGTAATTAAATGAGATACTTCCCCATTTGACATCCCCAACTTTAAGTGTACCTCAATATCAACTACTAATTGTTGAAATAGATCAGACAGAAAAAGTAAAAGTTTTTCGGGTGTATCTTTGTGAAAAGTGGACAGAACTGTTTGTTCTGAGAAAAATCTCAGTGTACACTATCGTTTTGCTTTATTTTCTACTGTTAGCTACTGAGCCACTTTACTGACTGCATAAACAACCTCCCAAGGTTCTGTTCTTCCCTTCTGTGGTCATTTTCTGACCTAATTTACTCACTGGGCAAGGGATGAAACAGAAGAGGCTGGAGTCTGTGCACTGAGAGTTTATGGCGAGGGCTGGCCGTGGCACCGCTGATGCAATCCTGGGACTAGTGTCTATGTAACAACCCGGCTGCCCCAGTGAGGTCTAGCTGTCTGTCCAAATTGCAGAGAAGCCCAGGGCTTTTTACACTGAAAAGCAAATCAGACTTACAGTCTCAAAGCCTCATTCTAAGAAACAAGGACTAAAAATGTTTTGTTTGAGCTCAAACTTTTAAAATTCCTATAACTGTGAAATGGATTAATTTTCTGACTTCTCCATGAAACAGTGGAAATAATTTCACTATGGACTGTGAACAAATGTGCTGTTATGGTCTGAAAGAAAGTTCTGGGCAATATGAAATGAAGTATTACTTTCCAAGTCTCTATCATAATAACACTTAACACGTAATCTGAGATAGTAAGCAATCTTTTAATAAATTCAGAAATAATACATTTTGATTAATGAATTATGGGTTTTCTTCAATATTTATTTTTCCTTTTGTTTTCTGAGACGACTTCTTTTCTTAGTTTCACCTCTGTGAGGTTGAAGGGGAAGAAGAAATTTAATTCAGCACAGCAAATTTCTTGAGAATCT